TCTGATTAGTTTTTTTATTTATTACAAAGATGTATCAGTTGTTTTTTGTTCACACTATAAAATAACTTGACCTTCTGGAAACTTGCAATCAAAGAATCCTTACCATTGCAGAATTTGAAACTGTTACGAATGGTCTATGTTAGTTTGGACTGGGCATGATCGATTGGTTGGTGTGCCCAGACTGCTCCACACTATGGGTTTGCTGTGAGAGTAATGGTTAGATAGCCCTGGTGAAGCTTTGTCTAAAAATTATAAACAAACAAGTAATCTTCATCAGTTTATTTTTCACTAGATTTATTCTCAGAGTAAGTTAATGAGGACTTGTCTAGCAGGTTGTATTTCTTTCTTATATAATTACAAACTGTTGAAATCTGCTACACCTTCCAAGAAAAATTGTGATCTCCTACAAAACTTAGTTATATAATCTACTATTTTCTTATTTTTGTTGTTATATTAATTAAACCCATTACTTGAAAATGTTAGTTTTCTTTCTTCAACTTGGAAGGCAACGGTTGAATGATTTAGTTTTTTTTATTTTGTGAGGAAAAAGGATAAAAAAATAAAATTTGTAGTTATAAGGTCTTAAATGTTTGTACATTTAATTAGTAAAAAAAAATTGTATATTTTTCAGATGTATTTTTGCCATTATCAGATGGTTTGATTGTGAACTTCTATGAAAATAAATCAGTAAGTTGAGATATTGGAGTTTTTTTTTCATTTTTCTTTGATTAATGTACATACATGTATAACTAAATGAAAAATGTGTTTCTGTTTGTTTAAAAAAAATGACTTAAAGATATTGATAAATTTGTAATATAAATTATAGTTTGGTCATTTTAATATTATATTTGTGTTCTGCATGAAGTGAATGCTGTAATTTAGTTTTAATAAGTTATTTTGTGTCTGGAATTTTTCCAAAGTTTGAGAATGAAGAATGCAATGTTTTTAATGGATAATGTTTTCAAATTGTGATAGAATCCTGTCTTGTGATATAATGTAAAATTTTAACTGACATTTATTATTTTAATTTTAGTTAAATATTTTAATTGATGTGAAGGGATAACAATTAGTGTCTAAAGTTTCATGTAAATAGAATATATATTTTTTTAGTTAATAGAAGACCTTTTAAAAGAGCTTCCAAGTAGGTTTGTTGAAAATGAAGATACAAATTCTGCTCTTGGAGCAGCTTTACAGGCAGCTTACAAGTTAGTGGTGAGTCAAAAAAAATATTTTCTGATAAAATGTACAAGTTAACAGAACTTTTTCATTCATATTTAGTAGGATGGTGTAAAATTCACTGGGCAAAAGCAAGTACAGTATAATTGTATAAAATGTATTAGTATATAATTCAAGAAAAATTATGATTGATATGTTTGAATGGACACAGGAAAATCAGCAGAATACCATATAATTAAGCTATATATATTGTAAAATGGCCTCACTGAAATTTGGACTTATTGAAAATTCTGTATTTATGAGCATACATTTATTTTTTATATCACTGAATGTGTAACAGACATTCATAACTTAAGTTTATGCCTTTTACAATTACACACAGGCTCCTACAGGAGGAAGGGTCACAGTTATGCAAACACGTTTACCAAATATTGGACCCGGAGCTTTAAAGCCGAGAGAAGATCCTACCCACTTTACAGCCAAAGTTAGTTTTGATATTTTGGGAAAAATTATTGAAAAGATAAAAATTGAGTTGAAATACTGTATCTTATGGAAAGTTTGTTAGAGCTTCATATAAAATTTGTCTTGATTTTTGTTTTGTTTGTACACAGGCCCAACTATAATTATTTTACACTGGTCTGTAAACAGTTTTTTTTTTATTATTCACTGTAAGATGCTCAACTATGCTGCATTGTTTCAGATAACAGGACAACACAGTATTACTAATACTAATTAATTCCTCAATATTCTTAGCTATATTTCCTACAGCTTCATTTAGGACTCCTTGGGTCAAAACTTCATGGCCTAACACTTGAAAGAGTTGTGCAGTTTAAACTAAGCTTTTAGTATTTCATGTTAATTTGTATTCATATCTCATATTTTCAGTCTGTTATTAATCCTTCAAAATTGACCTACTATGCATAATAATATGCAATGTTTAGTATCTCCACCCCCCTCTCAAAAAAAAAAAGTCTGAAAAGATAAAATTTGGAACTTACATGGTTTCATGTTTTTCTTCAATTAGGATGTTGCCAACTTGGGGCCTGCTACAGATTTTTATAAGAAGTTGGCCCTTGATTGCTCAAGACAACAGATAGCTGTTGATCTCTTCATGCTGAATTCACAGTATGCTGATTTGGCCTCCTTGGGTAAGTGAGACTTTTTGTCCTGCAAATTAAACCATGATCATTCTTTCATCTTTTTGTAAGGATGTGAGTGCTTTCATGAGAAGTTTTAATTGATACTAAATTAAATCAATCCTTGTTAGTTAGTTCCTTTTGCACTTAACATTTTAGTTATTGAAACAAAATGAAAATCACATATTGCAGTTCTTATTATTGTCTTTTTTGTTTTTAGTTTGGACAAAAGAGTTGACTAGACCAGAGATTATAGTTATTTGTAAGATTTGAATGAAAAGCACAATATGAGTGATTGTGTACACTTTATTCAGTTATTTTTTGTGCACTTAAAGGACTTGTGTAAGATGTTTTCCGAGTCATATTTTTGTTTTATGTCAAGTAAAAAGAACGATAATGATTAGGTACAAAATCAGTTTAAAGACTTGTAAATATCCACTATCTTGTTAGCAATCATTTTATTATGACTAACAGAATGTGCACATGTTTGGTCCATTGGATCGACCTGATATTGGAAAAGGAAAGTTGACTGTAATTTCCAATCTACTATTTGTATCTACATAAGAATGTGGCAGGCTTGTGGCAAAATGTACAAATCTTTTATACACAAAAAATCTGATGTGTTACAGAAGTATTTATACTCAAGATATGTTTATGAATTGCTGTTGTCAGTCTGTGATAAGTGTTGGAGTGCAAAGTAATGTTGATGTGAAGAATAAAAGTACTTTTGTCCATCATACAGTTTGCATATTGTATTTGCATAGCCTAAAAAACTTCTAAAATGCATATGTACAGTTTGTTTTTCAGTATCCTGTATTTGTGTCTGATGTTTACTCTTCTGTATTATAAACTGTTACAGAATCAACAGTGTTGGGTAAATTGAATAGTTGATGACTCTGGCATCAAATGCATAATACCGTGTTGAATAAACTGTGTAAAAAGTAGTAGCATGTGCACTTTGATCAGTACTCATGCAAAAAGGGTTAATCTTCATTTTTAACCTCTATTTTTATTTTGCACACGAGCCCAACTGTAATTTATTTGTTGAATGACTTCTGTAAGTGGTCTTTTTACTTTAACACCAAGATGCCCAGCTATGCTGCATTTAACTGATAATAAATTTTTTGACTTTCTTTCTAGTTTGTATATCCAAATTCTCTGCTGGTAGTATCTACTATTTTCCTGGTTTCCATGTGACATTGAATAAGTTTCAGACACAGAAGTATCAAAAAGAGTTACAACACTATCTTACCAGAAAAATTGGGTTTGAAGCAGTAATGAGAATAAGGTGCACGAGAGGTAATTTAACTTGCTGTTTCTTTTATGTAATTTTATGTTGCTGAAAATGTCTTGCATGAAACAGAAGGAAGACATATCATTTTAATAATCCATGTAGAGTTGCTTAAACTTCATCATAATTTTCAAAACTTTTTATAACATAGCAAAAACTTGAATATAAATATATATATGATTTTCATTAAATTAAAGAACTTGTCTGGAGATTAAGAATAACATTATTAAAGATTCAGTTACATACAATAAATGAATTATTTTTCTTAATAAGCAAATCAAATTGCTGAAAAACTAAAAATGAAAGCCAAATGCTATTATTTTTTTATGAGAACCTTAACCCAAATCTGTGTTCAGTCTGGCTTTTTCACACATGAAACAGGCATCATTATTTTGGAAGTAAGTCAGTGAAAAAAGAAAATAATGTAAAACAACAATTTGATATTCATAAAATATTTTTTAGTTTGGAAATTTTTGTTGCTACAAGTAAAAAATGTCATGTGCTTAGAGAAAAAATTCCAGACAGTAGGCAAATACCAAACCAGAATAAACTAATGGATAAATAAATATAGCTACAAAACTAAGCTACCTTTACTAAGTGTAATATACTGACTTTAAACCTATACAAACCTAAATAACATATTCAAATTGTTTTAACAGTTGGAAGCAAAGTAAAAACATGTACTTTAATCTTCCATAAACAGGACCTATCGGAGCTATTTATATGTAATTTTTGTCAGTTTTGTA